GCATCGTGCGAGAGATACTTGAACTCGTAACTATATATGTTGTGCATAGTATACAAACTATAACATTCATCAGCGTAAATGTATGGGTCTACATTCACATGCGTACATGCAGTAACCGAGTGAGCGCATGGGTATCTGAAGGCTTGAAATCGACCACAATCACACTATTTTTTATTCAGATTACTAGTAAAAGTGGCATAAGTCCCACCCTCATGTGGTTGAACCAACGCTTGTATAATATAATTAGATTTTAGTCTGGTGAAATTACGAACATACATTGATGTTGCATGAGTTTCATTTTTGTTCATTGCTTTCTATAGATCTGGAGCCCAATTTCTATATTCGTTCAGCATTGCCTCTATATGGGCAACTTTGTCTGCACAAACTTTACCCAATCTGAAGTATGTCTCCCGAACAATACTTGCTACCAGAAAATGTCTAGTCCCTTTTAGCACTGAATTGATACACTCAATAAGATTGGTTGTCATATAACCGTAACGTCGACCTTGATCGTCATATGACTATGCCCATCTTTCCCGAGGTATCTCAACTGCAAAATTATACACCTTTTCTTCATATTTTCTCAAATATTTCAGTCTTGCACGGAAGGTCGGTTGTAGTAATGTGTAGCCAGAAAAAATAGTTAGGAGTAAGTATAATAATTTTAAACGAAATCTAAGACCAAAAAATGAATGGTAATTACCCATGCTGATACTCTTTTCTTTTTCTTCTTATTCTTGAACCTCGTCATAACATTTGAAACAATATGACATATTTAATATGCATAAAATACATGCGAAGGTGACCACCTACTTCTTGATCTGTTAATCATGGCCAACAACCCTGGCGAATGGTCTGAGATCATACAAACACCATCTTGGGTAATAACATGAGAGCACAAGTTTGACAAAAAGAAAGTTAACGTTTCCTCGAGCTTATTTTTAACAATGACGAAGGCAATGAGGAAGATGTTTCTATCACCATCTTGTGCAACTGATATCATAAAGACGTGTTTGTATAAGCCGTATAGAAAAGTGACATCCACTTGAACCTTCTGTTTACAGTAACAGAAGCATTCAATTTGTGACTTGAAAGCCCAGAACAAGCCTCCAAAAACTCTCTTCCCAGGGATAACTTATCCATCAAATATGGTTGTAGGATAAGTGTAGGAGCGAACAATGGTTCATGGGATAAAATATCCCATTGCTTGTAACAGATGTAGTAGCTCAATATACGACTGATCCCAATCACCGTACGGTAGTGTCATTGCTTTTCGTTTGACTATTCAAGACTTTTAATAAGACGAAATATAACCAAATGTATTATGTATTGATGCCACAATCATTAAAATCGTGATCTTTGGATTTTTCTCCACTAGTAGTTTCACGTATGTACATATGACATCGAGTCTTAAGTGCTTGTGACAAGGAGCTGAACGTGCATCTGTGTTGGTTAGGGAACTTTGTCACTTCTTACAATATCTTTCGTTGTAGGTATAAAACATGTATAATTCACTTACAACCAACGTTGTTGTTAATACATCTGACAAAATATGTCATATGGTCAGACTCCACAATAGTGAATTCCATATTAGCTTTTATATAAAACTCTTTCACAGCTAGTTGTGCATCATTCTTTCTCCCAAATTGTAACCTAACTCTAAACTCTGTCGATACGTTATTCGAGGCCCCTAGTAGACTGTGCATATATCGGGCATATCAGAAATCTTAGAATTCTTCATAGCATCATAGTTTATTTCATGCATTGCAACTGCATGACGATACTAAGGCATCTGGGGTTGCAAACTTTCTGGTTACATGGCTGTTGGCAGATGTGCCCAAACGGGCGGAGCATTTTACATTGCTTGGCCAAGAGAAACGACTGCCTCCCAGACATCTCCCTCTATATCAAAGGCTTATCCCTCTAAAGAAACCTCGGCAATATCAGATTCATTGATTATTGGTGTGTCATTGTCCATCGTAAGTGGAACAAAAGTTTCATCGTCATCACTAAAATCAACAAGGATTTCACCGAATTACCCGACCAGGTTATCTACATCTTTTGATGGTCCTACTTCTACAGTCACCGGTGTAGTAATTGAAGAAGTATGAACATCTGTAGTTTCGACAATAATCTCAATCATTTGATTATTGAAGGATTGATGAATGTCAACCATAACAGATACATTGTCACCATCATCGAGCAAGTTTGCTCCATATTTAAACAAAGCATCTGAAATGATGTGTCGATATCTCAAACTTGAAATAGAAGCTCTGATTTTTTTTCGATTTTCATTTTCCTATGAGTTATATTTTCCATAGCTTGGCCATTTGGGTGGACGATTGCGAAAAACTTGTTTGCTAAAGCTTCAGAGAGAGATTGATTTTTTGTTTGTTCAATACAATTGTAAAAATAAAAAATCTTGTGAAGATTCATCTGAAGTGAGCCAATTCAAAACAAATATGATCCTTCATTAATTATCATCCAACAACTATCCAGTGAAATATCATATCATCAGACAATGTTTCAACTACTTTTCAATGCTCAATTAATGCACCGTTTTAGTTATTTTTTAGAGGTAATTTATTGCAGCAATAATGAAACGGTTGGCTTTTTCAGAGGTCATTTATTGTAGCAATAATGCAATGATTGGCTTTTTCAGAGGTTATTTAATGCATAATTCAAGCAACTTTCAGAAAATAGGTAATAGTGGTGCATTATCATCTTCAACAACTTTTCAGTGATATATCAACTCAAATCAGAAAAACGTGTTTTAAACTCAAGCAAAATAATGTACCATTCCAACTAATTTTTTTGTAAAATATTAACTCAAATCAGAAAACTTTTCAGTGTTGAATTATCACTTCAAATCATAAAAAATGTGTTTTTCAACCAGGTCAAATTATTCACCATTTCAGCTACTTTTAATGCTCAGTTAATACACTATTTCAGCTACTTTTCAGAGGTCATTTACTGCAGCAATAATGTAACACTTAACTTTTTCAGAGGTCTTTTAATGAAGAATTTAAACAACTTTCTAGAAAACGGGTGAAATTGTTGTGCATTATCATCTTATGTAACTTTTTAGTGATATATCAACTCAAATCAGAAAATGTGTTTTTAACCCAGGCAAAACAATGCACCCCTCAAACTAGTTTTCAGTGAAACTTTAACTCAAATCAAAAAACTTTTCAGATGACATTTACTGCATCACTAATGCAACTTTTTCAGAGATCATTCAATGCATAATTTAAACAATATTTCAAAAAACGATCAACTCAAATAAGAAAACTTGTATTTCTCATAAGCCAAATAATGACCCATTCCACCAACTTTTTAGTGCTCATTTAATCATCTTCAACAACAATTAATATGTGTAAGTTGAAAGCCATTTTACTCTAATATTGAAGGAAAGAAAAAAAAACAAAATACCTTCAATCTTTCACTTCCAAATCTTGAGTTTTTTCAAACATGTTAACTATTTTTACAACTGTTTTTTACGATTGCAAATCTATAACCATGTGTTTTCCAACAAAAAAAATCCAACTACACGAGTTGAAGTTCAGTATAGAAACAATAGTTCTACTCGGAAGCAGTAGAAGAGTATCTTCCTTATATTATAAATTTCCAGTATCATGCACAAGGTTTCATCTAAGCAATGATGTAGACCTTGCAGGCACGATTGAGACATACTTCTATCACACTTTGTCTGATGTCAATTTGTTTATAGAGTTCGATGATCTCGATCGTACTCGTAGCATTGAGGATGTTGTTTCCATGTCGAATATCCCACCAACTCATATATATGAATAAGAAAAAAAATAGATGATGGAGACCCAGAAGCATGATTCCAATTCGTACGTGAATGACAACAACAAAAAGAATGGAGAATTAAAGAAATTAATCTTACTTTTGACGAGTCTACTGATTACGAAAAATAAAACTTCTTAATCAATATTGCTATGTTAATGATTTTATTTAATATTTATGGTGTTCGTAAGGTTAATCATATTTACGTCTTTATGTTAATGTATTAAGTATGCATTTTTTTTCTTAATGTATATTTATGAAGGTCTAACCTATTGTTCATAGTTTACTGTTCTTTTCAACATAATCTACCACATTTTGGAGAGCAAGATAAATAAATAAATAAATAAATTCACGTAATAATATAGAAAAATGTTTTTAATAGAACTCTTCACCTCGAGGCGATGAGTTCCTGTGTATTTTTCCCCAAAATAAATTTTGCATAATAATATGGAAAAAATAATATTTTTAATAAAACTCGTCACCTACATGAAATATTAAAATATTGGGCCTGCAATATAAACGAGTTTCATGTGCACTGTAGAAGATATCGTATATCCCAAAATAATTTTTCAGGTGCCCTATTTGGGAAAAAAATCCAAATTTTTATCTAAGGTTAAACTCTTTATTTGAAGCATATTTAAAGACACATTTATTGTATTAATAGGATATAGAATAGATATTTAAGTTTTAAAAAAACTTGGAGCTGCACGAATCAACCTACCTCAATTGTTAACGTTGTTATTCCTAAATGTCACATGTTCAAGCACAAACGATTGTACTAGGGTGATTGAACGTTTATTCTCAAATGGTTGAAGTTTAATCACCTTAGTTTAATAAAAGAAAACTTAGTTGAAGTTTATGAATGGTGCAAACTGGATTGATAAAATCGCTCATAATATATCAATGTAAAATCCATTTTAGATTAATCGATCAAATATTGATACTTAAATAAAAATATAATATTAAATTGATAAATTATAAGACATCAACTCCAAATTTATTTTAGTAATTTTAAATTCATTACTAAATTTTATATTAATTGATGAAGAAATCAAGAGAGAATGTTAATTAATATCAAGTAAAAAATCCTAGCTTTCCTTAATTACAAATCTTGTCCCTTTAAATACCCACACTTCAGATCAGGTCCTTTTATTTTCACTGCTCGTTTTCGATATAGTCGGTTTATTCCTCTATCTCTGTTATCTCTAGGTGACCCCTTTCTCTTCGGTTTCAATTGGGGTCGCCCAAAATCACAAAAAAAGAAGAAAATTTTTGAAAGAAGAAAGAAAAACCCAAAAATCTCACTAAATTATTAGTCAACTTTGATTCAAAAAAGTTATTTTCCCCCATTTTTTTGGATATATTTTTCAACCATGTCGGAAATGGCCAACACCGATCCGGAAGGAATAGACGCCGTGCGAATGACGTGGAACGTTTGGCCGCGTACCAAAGTCGAAGCCAGCAAGTGTGTGGTACCGTTGGCGGCTACCATCTCTCCGATCCGCTCGCATCCGGACATCCCCACTCTCCCTTACGCGCCTCTACGGTGCAGGACGTGTACGGCTGCTCTCAACGCCTTCGCGCGCGTTGACTTTACCGCCAAGATCTGGATCTGCCCTTTCTGTTACCAGCGCAACCATTTCCCGCCTCACTACGCCATGATCTCCGAGACGAACCTCCCGTGCGAACTCTACCCGCAGTACACCACCGTGCAATACGCGCTCTATCCCGATCCGAACAACCCTGCCAGTGCTCCTCAATTTCCGCCGGTGTTTGTATTCGTGTTGGATACTTGCATGATCGAGGAAGAGCTTGGGTTTGTCAAATCAGCGATGAAGCAGGCGATTGGGTTGTTGCCAGAAAACGCGCTTGTTGGGTTCGTTTCGTTTGGGACTCAAGCTCATGTCCATGAATTGGGGTTCTCGGATATGTCGAAGGTCTATGTTTTCAGGGGTAGTAAGGAGGTTTCCAAAGAGCAGGTGTTGGAGCAGTTGGGCCTTGGTGCTTCCGGTCGGCGGCCAACTCCCGGGCATCCGAAAGGCCTACAAAATGGGTACACGGATACTGGTGTTAATAGGTTCTTATTGCCTGCTGCTGATTGTGAATTCACGCTGAATTCGGTGTGTTTTATTATCATTTTTTGTGGGAAATCATCTTTTAAGTTATTGAACTTTTTATTAATTGATATGTTGGTTTTACTGTAGTTGTTGGATGAGTTACACACGGATCAATGGCCTGTAAAAGCGGGGCAGAGAGCTTTAAGGTGCACCGGGGTTGCCTTAAGTGTTGCAGCTGGATTGCTTGGAGCATGCATGCCAGGTACTGGTGCTCGGATTGTTGCCCTGGTTGGTGGTCCATGTACTGAAGGTCCTGGGACGGTAATGCCACTGAACTCTTTGTTTAGCTGTTGAATTCTTTAGAATAAGACAATTAAATGATACAAATCAAATTTTATATAGTTGATAGTAAAGCATATATAATTCGTTTTATCATGAGTAGTAAGAAGTTTATTGACCAGCACTCAAACACAATCCAAATAGCATATATGGTTGTGCTGGATATGGGTTGTAATTTGTAAGATTATGGTCCTTATATTTGCTGCCATCCTGATTACACCACTGGTATATTGGTGGGTTTGACTTTTCTGTATGGTTACAGTTTCTTTTCTGTAGTGGTTGCTATGTTGCCCAAACTCTTCATTTTTCTTGAAGTATCATTGTCCGACACTTCTTGGTTAACACATTCTTGTTTGTCATCACTCATCAAGATGATAGCGGTTTTTATTATTTTTGCAGATTGTATCAGAAGATTTGTCGGAGCCTGTGCGTTCCCATAAAGATCTTGATAAGGATGCTGTTCCTTATTTTAAGAAAGCCGTCAAATTCTATGATAGTCTTGCTAAACAGTTGGTTAGCCAGGGTCATGTTCTCGACCTTTTTGCATCAGCACTTGATCAGGTTTGTCTGAGCAACTTTTTAGGTTTTTGAATTATATTTGAACTCTTCTTGCCTTAGGGCAAAGGACTACTAAGAGGGAGGTTTTTAATGAGGCATCCTATTCCTATAAAAAAAATTATATTTGAACTCCTTTTTGTTCTCAAATCTGTCTGTAATATTTTTGTTGTCAATGTTCCTTCCAAACTAATCGACTCTCTTAATAAGAATGGATTCACTTGAAAGTTTTTTGGTTCTTTTTTGTCTTTTAACTGGTCCCACGTATTTAATTTAAACATTTGATGAACCTGCTGAAGCAGGTAAGATATAAGGACCCTAATTTTATTTGAAACTTAAACAACCCAATATTTAATTCTTTCTTTCTCTCTCTTGCATTTGGATTTTACTCGTTAATTTTCAGTGCATATATGATGTAGTGGAAATATGATAACATTTGATGTTTTCCCCCTTTCTTATTAGCTTGGTAGCTAGTACTGTAAATGCTTTATATGTAAGAAACTGTGGATGTAATACTTATCATGTTTAACGTGGGTGCAAATCTTTGTCCAAGGATCTGTCTGATGGGTGGGTTTGGAGAGGAAACGGGGATGGGATCTATTCTATTAAGACCAGTGTCGTAGCTTGCAGTCCTGTTTTGTCAGTTGATTCTTTTTGGATGAGATTCATTTGAAGGGGTTTGGTGCCTCCCAGAGTGGAGGTCTTTTTGTGGCAGGTTGTGCATCATAGACTGCCAGTAAAACAGGAACTACAAAGGAGAGGAGTTTCAGCTGTTATAGATGTGTCATGTCCCCTATGTAAAAAAGAGGTTGAATCCTCTTTGCATTTATTTTTTACTTGCCTTGTGGCATGGGCATTGTGGATGAAATTTTTGAAATTGTGGGGTGTTAGTTCGGTTTTGCAGGCCAATGCTCAAAGTTTTCTGCTAGCTTGGGAGCATTTGGTCCTTAATTCTAGAATTTGGTCATATATTCCGGGTGTGGTGCTATGGACTATATGGAAATATAGGAATGACATTGTGTTCGATGGGGGTAGGCTCAATCAGATCGATCTGTTTTTTATGGTAAGATGTAGGCTGGCGACCTGGTTCATAACGAATTCCAAGGATGTCTCTATTCTAAAAGACTCTCTCATCTCTGATCCTACTATTGGGGATTCTTGCTCTAATTCAAGGTGTTCGATCATTGAAATTGTGTCTTGGTCTCCTCCTCCAAAGGGTTTTATTAAACTTAATGTGGATGCAGCAGTGAATGGTGATTGGAGGAAGAGTGGTGTTGGGGGAATTCTTAGAGATGAGGATGGCTCGGTGATGGGCTCTTTTCAAGAGCCATCTGGCCCAGGTCCTCCGGTGCTGATTGAGTTGTTGGCAGTTAAGAGGGGCCTAATTTTTTTTGAGCCGTTTCATCAGCAGATGAAGGAACGTTTATTGATTGAATCTGATAGTAAACTTGCAGTAGAGTGGGTCAAGAATTTTGATCTCTGTCCCGGTGTATACTCTAATTTAGTAAAAGATATTGTTACTAAGTTAAGGGAGTTGAATGGTATTATTAGATGGGTTGCTAGGTCAGCCAATGTTGAGGCTGATAGTTTAGCCAAAGCTGGTATTGGCTAGTTTTACATTTGTGATTTGCTTTTGTAGTCTTTGGGTTAGATTATGTAAAGGGAGTGTTTATGTGTTGTTGTTAATCATTATGTATATTGTGGTTTTTAATGAATCCTAAGGCACTCTTTTCCTCCTTCCGCTGATTGAGAAGCACTTAGTGTTCCATTAATCATGAAGGGGGTTTTTAACGAGGCCTACATTCCTATCAAAAAAATCTTTTATTTAAATGAATGCTATTGACTTCAGACGATAGTAATCCTGACATTGTGAACTGTACATAAGTATTTAATTGGTATTTGTGTGTTTTCAGGTTGGGGTTGCTGAAATGAAAGTTGCAGTTGAGAGAACAGGTGGCCTTGTTGTTCTAGCAGAAAGTTTTGGTCATCCTGTATTCAAAGATTCTTTCAAGCGCATGTTTGAGGATGGGGAACAGTCTCTTGGCCTCTGTTTTAAGTTAGTTTCTTTCACACCATCTCTTGTTTAACCTTTTTACTATAATACTTTTCCCTACTTGTTGGTAAATTACTATATAGTTGCATCTTTAATTTCTTAATTTACATTTTTGCTCCAATTCCAGACAGTATTATGTGTGTTTTATTGAGTTCTAAATGTGTCAACCACCCAGAATGCTATTAAGTTCTGATGTCACTCAGCACTAGGTGATGCTGCTCTGAAAGAGTGCAAACTTTTGATATAAAAGTTCCTCTGAACTAGCTATTTTTCTGGACGCAGAACAAAAAAAAAAAAAATTTATCACCTTGCTATTTTTTTTCTGAACTAGCTATTTTTCTGGACGCAGAACAAAATTTATCAAATTGTAAATGCTGGTATTTTGTGTTGTCGTACTGTCTTATGGCTTAATTGATTTTTCATGTAAATTTTGCCAATGGGAGTGCTTGCATCTTTTAAAGTAATAAAGGTATTACCTTGCTGCAGTTGGGGTTGAATTTCTGATTTCAAATTTAGTGCTGATTGCTGTAAATGAACTGTCTCTGTAACTTACGCACTCATGCTGTAGCCTAAGTTTGTGCATTGGCATGCATTATCTGTAACCTCTGATTTGCTGTGGCATGGTTTGGAGCGCCCAGAAATATGAACCATGTTAGCTTTAGTATACAATTCAAACTCATTATTTGTTCTTTTTTCTTTTTCCTAGTGGCACCCTTGAGATCAACTGTTCTAAAGACATCAAGATCCAGGGGGTTATTGGGCCTTGCACATCTTTGGAGAAGGTTGGGCAATTTAGAAAATTTGTTACATTTCCCAATATCTCGACACAGACACTATAAATTGTAGACACAGTTTACTTGTATTTATGGAGACTTAAGCTGATAACTTTGAGGATTGCAGAAAGGACCTAATGTTGCTGACACAGTCATTGGTGAGGGGAACACTACAGCATGGAAAATGTGTGGTCTTGACAAGAGTACTTGTTTGACGGTTTTATTTGATCTTTCATCTAGTGACCGATCAAATGCTCCTGGAGTTGCAAATCCACAGCTCTATTTGCAGTTTCTTACAAGGTTTGCTTCACAATCTACTGAAAGGCCATTTTTTTTTACATTCAAACTATATGTTTAACTTGTCTTTTAATTTGCTCTTTTAGTAGTTTGATTTTGAAGTTTTTATTGCAGCTATCAAGACCCTGACGGTAAAACAATGCTTCGAGTTACAACTGTGACTAGACAATGGGTAGACAGTGCTGTTAGTTCAGAGGTTAGTTTAGGTTTTGGTTTGAGCTGTCTAAATAGCACCTAAGTGTATCTTTATGTTTCTTCCTTTTCGTTCTATTTTATGTTTTGTTAGATTTCAGTGGTGGTAGGTCAGCTGATCTGTATAAATTTAAGTGCCATACATGTCTTGGTTTGGATAGTGTAAGAATTAATTAATGCTAACGGTGAATAATATCTCCTTTCTAGGAACTAATTCAAGGTTTTGATCAAGAGACTGCGGCTGTTGTAATGGCAAGAGTAACCTCCCAGAAAATGGAGATGGAGGTAATTTAGGAAGTCTTTTATTCAACTTTCTACCTGTTGCTTATCTCATTTGAATGTACTCATTGTTAACTTATAATCTACTTAGCTGATGTGTGCTCTTCTTATTTCATTATTCTATTTTTTTTATTTTTTATTGAATAATTTCCAATCTTATTATGTGTTCATGTTATTGGATATGAATACTCTCTTAACCCTCATAGCTTTTAGCGGTTCTTACATTCCCTTGTTATAATTTCTATGTATTTTTCGGGCCGAACAATAACATATTTTTCAGGTGATTGTAATTACTTCTTTATTTGTTACTTAATCCCTTGATTGATCATGGCTTTCTGTTTCTTTTAGGAGGGGTTTGATGCTACAAGGTGGCTAGACCGGAATCTCATTCGACTTTGTTCCAAATTTGGCGACTATCGAAAGGATGATCCATCATCTTTTACATTAAACCCTTGTTTTTCTTTGTTTCCTCAGTTTATGTTTAATCTGCGACGATCACAATTTATGCAGGTAATAATCCTTTTTCCTAATATGCTACCTTTTTTTAATAATATTCACTTGGCCTACGTTCATAATGGTCTTTTCCCCTTTTTTGTGTCAGGTTTTTAACAATAGTCCAGATGAAACTGCCTATTTTCGCATGTTATTAAACAGGGAAAATATTACAAATGCTGCTGTCATGATTCAACCATCATTAATAGCATATTCATTTAACTCGCTACCCCAGCCAGCGTTATTGGATGTGGCCTCCATTTCAGCTGATCGTATTCTCTTGCTGGATTCATATTTTAGTATTGTAATTTTCCATGGCATGACGATAGCACAATGGCGCAACATGGGTTACCAGAACCAGCCTGAACACCAGGTATGATCATTTCGTTCATTCCTCCTGAATCTAATGCTTAATGTATATTCATTTCAGAACCACCATGTTTATAATGTGCAAATTTCAGTACTGCCTGAAGTTGAAGTCATACTAATGTGCTTAAGTTCATGTGGTATAGTGAAGTTTCACGTTTATAAACCATTTTGTATGCTCATAATCTATGATTCTATTGTCTAAAGCTTTCATTTCCCCCCTTGCCTCAGGCCTTTGCACAGCTTTTGCAAGCACCCCAGACGGATGCACAAATGATTATTCGGGATCGCTTCCCTGTCCCTAGATTGGTTGTATGTGATCAACATGGATCCCAGGTCAGTATATTTCATTTAAGACTTAATTTTTTTTAAATAAAATATTTCTTCGGATATATAAAAATTGTTCCTGGTTTACCATTGTGAAATTCATTTCAATCTGAACACAATCTTTAAAAGAAAATTTGACCAAACATTATAAATTGGCTCAAATTAAGCTTGCTTTTTATAGTTGTTAGATGCACAGTTTACTTATATGGGTTCCGGCGTTCGTTACCTTAATCAGTATATGGTGATTACAAATCGTTTTCTTTACCAAATTATGGGGCTTATTTTTTTGTTTCCTTGAGCAGGCTAGATTTTTATTGGCGAAGTTGAACCCGTCAGCAACATACAATAATGCAAATGAAATGGCTGCTGGATCAGATGTAATCTTTACGGATGATGTAAGCTTACAAGTCTTCTTCGAGCATCTCCAGAAATTGGCTGTACAATCTTGATCTTCGAAGATAGTTGGAAGGCTTGTGATTTCTGGATTCGTCATGAGTTCTGTATCCTGATCCCCACTCTTGCATCAGTTCTTTTTACCTTTTCCATTGAATTTACGAATGAGGCATCGATCACCATCACAGTATTTGATAAAAACAAGGGATACAGTTAGCACCGTATTGACCCTTTGAGGGTTTCCGGGAAGTTATCTGGTCAATAAGCGTAGCATCAAAGAGGTCAGTTGAGTTGTTTTTCTTAAAAAAATTACAGGGAAGTTATTGGTGAGGATTTATTCAATTAGGAACATATTTTGACAGAACAATTTTGTTCTCTTTTTGGGATATTGAATACAGATGAGGTGTGTGTATTTGTGTACCGAGTTTCAAAGTCATATATAGTGTGTTGTTTATTGAGGTTCAAAGACTCCAGGTTTTCAAGTCTTACGTGGTGCAAGACTGATAAACAGCATTGCTATTAAGCATAAAACAGATGACAAAGAATGAAAAAGATGCAACGTGATGCTGTTTACCTTATCCGAGACTTGATCGAACAATCTTGCTATATCATTGCTTTGCTCTGTGTTTAGCTACCAAATCGATAAGGATGTGATATGTCCATCTTTTCTTGTCCCTGGCTTCTGGTTCAAAGGAGGTGAATACTGCTTCACAATCTCTAAGAAAATGTCCCTTTTCGAATGCAGCGAGAACCAGCGGGTCAGTGTTAAGTTCTAGGCCTCTATAAAGAAGCCCCATCTTTCTCCAAGTCTAAAGTTTCAGCCCCATCAAACCCGCTCTCGATAGCGTCGAATAAGATCCCGATAGTGGTTATATCGGGTCTTACTCAGTAGCTCTGTAATCGAGAGAGTAAACTTCTCAAATGCTTGAAATCTTTCATCTTTAAATAAGCTAGCAAGATAATATTCGCTATAGTTACGTTCCATGAAGCTCTTGCTTCATCCATTTCTAAGATGACAGAATCCATCCCTTTTCGACTCAAAAGACGAGCATGAGAAAGGAGGCACAAACACCATACAAGATCTTTTCTACTGGATCTTGAAGAAAGATCGATACCCAGATCTTAAAATCGCGAAAACATATAGTTCTTGGTGTAAACTTCGGCTAATTTCCTAACCGTATCCTCCTTTGAAGAAGTCGAGTTCACAACCTTTCGATAAACCTTATCCATCTTATCCAGAATCGCAAAGTTTGCATATGCCTTGAGCATTGCAACCATAGAAGAAGATTGCAAATTCATCTGCTTCGAGATCACGATAAGATGAACTCGTTCCATCTTTTTAAGCAACCCACCACGCGAAAACTCACGGATGAGCAAGTTATAGGTAAAATGGTCAGGTGAGCATCCATCTGATTCCATATATTCAAGAATGTACTGATTTCATCATACATTTTCCATATGCCTTGATTAGCCCATTGTATGTGTCGGTTTCGGGTTCCAAACCGATTTCTTTCATCTCTTTGACAAAGAACATAGCATCATCGAACTTCCCATTTCAGGCATAAGCACGTATTATCGAGATGTAAATCTCTAAAGAAGGTCGTAGACCGTAATCCTCCATTTCTTGTAGTGCCGCGACCGCCGCATCGGTCATTCTCTCTTCACATAACAATCCTAAAAGCTTTTCATAGTTCAGTTCATTGATTCTTGATTTCTCTATGTTCTTCCAAATGAAAAACCTGTCCAGAAATACATAACTTTTAGAACTGCAAAGAATAATCAAATTGGAAACTAGAGAACATCCCATGTTCTGCAGTATTCACTGTAGTTTCCCATCCATTTTCTAACCCAAACCATTACATTTTCACAGAGGCCAAACACAGTTCCATTTTCATTCAGTTAAAATAAATCATCCCTTTCTCGGAAACCAAACAAGGTCCCATCTTCTACAAATATAGAACTAAATCATTAAACCCTAGAAACCCACGTTCCAAATTTAGTGAAAAAAACTGAACTCTTAAGGATTGCATAATGAAATACCCAGAAAGAGCAAAAAGAAAAGAACCTGGAGGCATTCCTGAGAAATCTAATGGCACCCAGAAATCATTTTTGATCCAATCTCCGTCATGTCGAAGAATTTGCAAAGGGCAAGAACCCCCCTTCTCCAGCTTTTCAAGTAAGGCCCTGAGCCTCCGGTGGTGATGATAAGTCTCCACAAAAAGCGTGGTACGGGTTCTGGAAGAAACACCATCCGGCGGAGGCGGCGGCGATGGGCGGGGAGAGGAGAGGCAACAAGAACAGCAATACCTGGTTCGTTTTGGGAACTGGGTTTTGATTAAAATCGATTTTTGGTTGGACTTATCAAGGGAGAATTGCCATCTCAAAGTGATTTTGCAGTCTAAATTCAGGGCTATTGCATTCTCCATCCATTAACATGCATAAATTTTCTCTGGTTCTCTTATCTTTCCTTCGAGTTTGAAGAGTTAAAATAAATAATAAAAATAAGGGTAAAGTATATAAATATTCCCCAAATTTTTAGGGTCCTTGCATTTTGGTCAATATACTTTTGCAATTTTCAATACAGTCATTAAACGTTTAGTTCGTTTTTGTTTTGGTCCCTACCGTTACATCCGTTAGTTTTTGCTGACGTGTCACTTAACTCCGTTAGCTTTCTGTCATGGCAGCTTCAACTTCTTCTTCTTCCTCCTCCTCCTCCTCCTTCCTTCTTCTGCTCACACCCTCAATTAAACTATCTGATTTTGGGGACGAAATATCGATTGCTTTGCTCTTCCAATCCTCGGATTCATTGAGGAAAGAGACTTGAACGGAAGAATTCTCTCGAAATCTCTACCTTTAATGCTAACAGGCCCCTTCAATATCATATTTCCATAGCCTAACGACTTCAATATCGTTGGCTCCAAATCGGAAACTTTGAAACTGATGGATCTAACAGATGTTCTGACTCCATCATCAACAAAGCTAATGGACTTCACAATGATGGATTCTAAGCCGTTCTCCACATCACAGCATTCAGCAAATGAGCAGGAAAAGGAAACACCCATCCGACGACAAGACTCACTGATTTTATCTGAAATAAAAACTCAACTCGATTAAATGCTTTATATGGTGAAATATATCAAATTTATTGAGGACCTGATTTTCCTGGAAAATGATGTATCTGTGTAGCATTAATAAATCAGAATGTTGATGTAAATTATCAAATCTATGTATACAAGACAAGCTAAAGACCACGCCTTCATCACATGTCCGTATACCACATATGCCCTCCCTTCATCACTCACCGCAACGGAGGTCGCGAACCCTTCTTCGTCGAGGTCAGTTCTGTCAAACACCACGCCTTCCGACCAATTGTCGTCGCTCTTCAAAAACCAAAGCTTATGTATGGAGATGACTAAAACGACATCGTCCCTCCTCATCGCGATCCCACTGGGCATCACCAGATCCCGGTTCAACAGAACGACCCTGGCTTTCCCGTCATCCGCATCGACCTTAAACATCTTGCCCAGGATTGCACCACTAATAGATATCCATTGCTGACGTAGGTGATTTCGTTGAGACCGCAATCGTTGAACGGTTGGTTTTCGTCCATGATGTTGGGGTAACGGGTGAAAGCCGGAGATTTGGAGAAGATCGAGGCCTCTCCGTCTTCGGTGACTTTCCAGATGAAGTTTCCGATCGAATTGGTGACGTAAGCGTTTCCCTTGAAGTCGACAGCTACGTCGTTGGCGACATCACTCCCGGGACGGATGGAATTAGACGGGGAAGTCGGGGTCAGAGGGTAGGATGGAGAGGAAGAAACGGCAGCGGGTGCGGAGGTCGTAGACGTCTAGGGCATTGAATAGGGGGGAGATGGGAAAGGGAGTGGAGGCAAGCCAGGAGGCGTTTCTTGGTGTAATCCACCGTCAGGCCTAGAACGGTGACCAATAACAATGGAAGAAGAAGAAGCTGGTCAAGCTACCACGTCATCAGAAAGTTAACTGGGTTAAGTATTATCCGGTATAAACTAACGGAGATAACGACAAAGACTAAAATAAAAATAATTAAAAGTTTGATAATTGTATTGTAAGTTTTAAAAGTTGAGTGATAAAAATATAAATATTTTAAAAATTTAGAGACTATTTATATTTTACCCTAATAATAATAATAATACAATAATTAAAAATATGGTAAATTAAGTATTTAGTCACCAATAGACCAATCTATTGTCACGGTTTTAAATTTTTTTAAAATCATACTTAAGATTATATTTTGATTATTTGTTACTAAAAAATAAATAATTTTTTTGATGCGGTGCTTTTATTTTTATTTTTTTAATCATGTGTTATTGTTATCATTATTATTTAACAATATGTGATCAAAATGAAACCAAAACTAAATCACGAAAATAGAAATTACTAGATGCATAGTTTACCTTGAAAAATAACTGCTCAAATTATATTTCTTTTAAAGTTTAGGTGTTGAAAAAAATTGGATAATACAGGGGTTTAACATTTTTCCGTCACTATTTTAAATTATCGTTAAAATCAATAAAAAATTAATCAATCAATTTTTGACATGCGACCTAATTTTAAATCTTCTTTAATTATTAAAAATAATTTATAATTTTTCAAAAAAAAATTATCTAATTTACATAAAATACCCTGAAATTCATAAAAACTTTAATTTTCAAATATCTAAAATCTTAATTCCCTAATCATGTTTAGGGATTAGGAGATTTAGACAATGACAAAGGGATAATTGATAATTGAGGTATGGTGAGTAGGGGTTCAATTATTAGTGAAGGGAAAATATTAAAAATTAGGGATTTGAGTATTTAGATTTAGGAATTTAAATTTAAGTATTTTAGGGGATTGAGACAACAATAAGAAAATAACTGATAGTGGCGGTCCAACAACGAATTAGTGAATGTTCGGTGGTGATAGTGGCGATTGATAACAAGAGGAAATTAGTGATAAGGCGTTTTAAGGGTTTTTTTGTCACACCCCCAATTTAAGGTTAATTTTTTAATATTTATTTTCGTGATTAAATTAAAATCTCAGTTTAATTAGGAGACCAAATAGAATTTTTCATTAAATTTAGACCCAAATCAGATAGTAACCAAAGCTTAGAGACCCATGGTATAATTTTTCCATTTCAAAAATATGGAAAGTTGAAGCCCTCTCTCTTAGTTTCTTTTTTAGTAACTTTTCCTTATAAAACTTTAAACGACGTTTCATCACCGATCGTAACTCCATTTTCGACACCTCCCATGTTATCGTGTTTAACATGTCGTTCTGAGTCCATCGGTGCCTGTTCCGTAGCCGTTGTCACCGACGTGTGGAGAGGTGAGCAATAGCAAATTTTCGGCATAGCTTAATCGAGCTCTCTATCGTTCACCGTTGTGAACTGAGCTTGGTAAGTGACTTAAAACTCTTTGAAATAATTTTAGAAAAAAAATCGTAATTTTTCAGACACCAAGCGCAATCGTATGCTCCCCCGCGCGTAGCTGTTACACGTGGGGCTTGTCAACCGCTTAGTGGTACTCTAGAAGTGGATTAACCTGACCCGCTGACCCGTCCAACCCGACCCAAAACTCTTCCGACCCAATTATTTTAGGCCTAATCAACCGCACCAATCGAACTGCTCCAATCAAACTGGACCGAATCGGTCTTACCGAACCATTGACCATTGATCGTTGGCAGTTGGTCATTGATCGGGATTGACTTTGACCGTTGACTGCTGTTGACTTTTTTCAAAAATCTCCCACTTAACGTTTTTCGACGTATTGAGTCCGATTTTGCAGTCCGCTCGCTAAATTCTGACCCGAAGGCCCCGAAATAAGCCCTTTAATATGAAAATGCTTAGTATTTTTAGCATTTTTGTACACTTATTTGGGATTCGATTATGGAATTGATATGAGATTATATTTTTATGAAATTACTCGTGATTCCCCTGATCGAGGGCCGACTAAGTCTGATGCTTCCTATCTAGCAGATCTGTACGGTCCAAGTTCTTCAAAAACTACTCGTGGTTTCCATGAATTGTTTAATTAAAGTTTATTATTTGTTTTACTAGGATTTTGATACAGTTCTTCCGACTCGTAGGATCTAGCACCGCCACTAACCGTGATAGGTAGACCTGGTTGTAGGCTACCTACCAGACTTCTCAGATCGATACAAGAGTGTTCCTGATTGTCTTACATTACTATTTTGAACTATTTGTCTAAAATGTTTTGGAATTTATATGATTTTAAATATTTTGACTGCATGATATCTATTTTACCGAATGCATTGAGTTCTGATATATGATTTATCATTTATTTATGACATGATCTCTGGTTACCGTATTTTTGTATCTGATTCTCAAAAATGGAATGTTTTCATGTTTTAAAGAATTAAACTATCGTTTTCACTCAACTACATGCATATTTACTATAATTGGGGGATTTTTAGAGGAAGTATCTCATGCTTAGTCTATGACTTGTAAGACTTTACCGCAGGCTCCTCTGCTTTGTGCATAAGGTAAGTTCTTACCACGTGTCCTTATGCTATCAGTATAAGGTCCATACCGAGTGTACATATGGGTGTATAGTTCAGGGGGAACATACACATCCTGGTGTTCAGATGGGGGTAGTGTTCATGTTTTAAAATCATATTTTATAAATTAATTTTTACCGAAATATTTATCTGAATGTTTTTATACACTGCAAGGAGAACACTGAGCTTTTTAGCACACTCTTTAATTTTTTACTTTTCAAATAGTACCAGACAGTAGGCTAGCAAATTTGACATTATAATGATCAACTGTTTTCCATTTCTGCATCACTGTACATTTTCTTATGCCCATCTCTATTATATTTTGGTGACACATGATTTTACTATTGTTTGTATGTATTTGTATTACGGATATTTTGTTTTGAACATATTTTTATACAGACTTCTGATGTTGATATGTATATGTTTACCGTATAAACCCTATTATTATATGTGTGTATATATATATTTTTGTATTTTACCGCTATATGTATTTTATTTATTGAAATGAATTTCAATTATGTTTTGAACATGGAAAAGAATTCTTAATACGACATATGACAACCAAGATTCGGTCGTAACATCCAGGCCGAGTCTAGGGGGTTACATTTTTATTTTAGAAAAAATATATTAATAATTTTATTAAAAAAATAAAATCAAGATTTTATAAACGCGACCTGTATCACGATTTGAGTGATTGGCATTTTTAACATTCGTGACGAATCATGCATTTAAAAGTGATAACGGAGAAAACATTCTTGACAAAAAAAACTTTAAGCACATACTTTGCTTAAGAGATTTAGTGAGTCATCCCACTAGACCAACTGGTTATGTACGCAAAAATCGGGATTCGTTCCCCTGACTTTGCTTAAGAGATTTAGTGTGTCATCCCACTAGACCAACTGATTATTAGCAGAATAATACTTACATTAGACACTAAGATCACTTAAGAAGTTAAAATTAATTCCCTTTTCTCTCAACCTAGTTTTCTTTCAATATTTTTGTTTCGCCTTCTTCTTTCTCTTTAATATTTGTTTAGACGGTGACGACACCAATCTTAATGTTGGTTGTTGACCGCTGGAGAATATTAGTTTTCTTATTTTTTGTAATATGTCTTTATTTTTTTCTTGAGTCTTTTCAATTTTGAAAAAGCATCTATGTCCTTATGACATGATTTTTCTCTGCTCTTGTGGCACGATCCTCATATTTTTCCGTACGTTTTTTCGTATACCTTTGCTGTCTTTTTGGTTCTTGCACAAAAACCATCACGATATTTTTTTCCTGATTGGTTAGTCGGTGGTCACGTACAGTCAGATCTCCTCTTTTAGTAAAAAGTTGTTTGCCGATATCATCATAATTGTGTAGCGAAGTAACTTGCCAGATTATTTGGTTCGCTCTCTACTCCTTTATCACTTCATCAAGCGTTTCATTTGATAGAAACAAGGAGTTTGTATAAAGGTTATTGAATTTTGATATTGGTCGTCATTCTCAATGGAATGTTTTAATTTTCTTCGTATTTTTAGGTTTATTATTTACTTTTGTTTGAGTATTTTGGTGACTATTGTCTCCAAATTTATCTCTTTATTATGATGCGTTGTAATTTTGATTCATTCCATTAGTAATAAGATCCGGTTGTCATTGTTAAAAAAAGTTCAATCTAATTAATTTTTAGAAATTACATAACTAAGTAAAACAAGAAGATGCCAAGTTTACAATTTTAGTTATTACAACTCTACAAACATACCTTGTTTATCTTCAATTTAATTGACATTGTCAATTACCAATTTCCAAAACATGTTTCTTCTAATTTAATTATCTTTTTATTTAATTAAAATATATAATTATTATATTATTTTGCTTAATTTTCCCATCATTCACAATTTATTAATAACGATAGAGATGGGAGTGGTTAAAAGTATATAAAAGATTGCGACTTTAGAACAAATACGTTTGAAAAGTTAAATTACTTGCTTGTTTAGGATATTTATAAAATATTTAATTGAATTTAAAGAAGAAAAATTGAAAATAATTCAAAATGCACATATTCTATTCATTAAAATAAATTTAAAAATATTTATTTTTCTTACACAAATAAATCTTAAGAACTGAAATTTTTTTATATCATGTCATATTACTATTTTCATTTAATTAATTATCAAATTTTAAAAAAAATAAAAATAAAGCATAAAATTAAAAATATTAATCACTCATGCAAATGGTATCATATTAAGAAATAATGTAATTATTTATGAAATTATTTTTCTATTACTTATTAAGGAGTAATATTTAAACCAAAAAACCCCAATTACTATAATTATTTCTTAAATTTAATAAATATATAATGAATTAAAAATAAAAGTAATACTATTTTTTTAAATGCAACAAACACACGTTGTTGGATTATCAAAACCACTTGTTTTGTAAGGGGGGAAAATGAAAAAAAAATCCAACCGCCACCACCATCACCTCCACATTCTCCTCATCATATCCGCCGTCCTATCCTCCGCCGCGGACGACAGTGCGGCGATCCAGAAGCTAGCTTCCGGCTTCCGTAATGCTCCCAAAGGGTGGTCGTCAACCTCGACAAACAACTATTGTAACTGGCACGGCATAAGCTGTGATAAATCCAACCGTGTCACTTCCATCAGCTTGGCTTCCAAATCAGTGTCCCGCATCCTCCCGCTGGAGATCGCCGACTTATCGGAACTTCGAAGCGTATCGCTCCAACTCACTGTCCGGCGACATCCCATCGTTCGGCGACTTATCGAACTTACAAAACATCTTTCTCGATTCCAATGGCTTCACTTCAATCACCCCAAATGCATTCGCCGGATTATCAAGCATTCAAACGTTGAGTTTGAACAAAAACCCGAAGCTCCGTCCATGGAGTTTCCCCAACATATCAGAATTAACGACCATCGTCGAGCTCGGAGTCTGCAACACCAACATCCACGGAACCTTGCCCGACCCCTCTTGCTATCATGCTACAGTGCGCCAGGTTTGTTTAGTTAGTCAGTCGGGAGTCATTCTTTTGTTTTTCTTCAGCCCTTTAAGAGCCCCACATCTTCGGATCATTAAGCAGTTTACAAACCTTAAAAGCATCCTACAACAGTTTGAACGGCACATTGCCACCTTCTCTCAGCGGTTCAATGATCCAAAACTTATGGATCAACAATCAAAACACCGGCTACGGTTTCACCGGTACATTAAATGTTTTATCCAACATGACAGAGTTGACTCAGGTTTGGGTTCATGTCAACTCGTTCACCGGTCCGATCCCGGATTTGTCTAAATGTAAAAGTCTATTCGATTTACAGGTTAGAGATAACCAGTTGACAGGTCCAGTTCCGAACTCGCTGCTTAAACTTTCGAGTTTGAAGAATGTTTCATTGGAAAATAATAAATTGCAGGGTCCTTTCCCCAAGTTTGATGTCACAGTTGTGAAAGCTCAAATCAATGGGAACAACAATTTCTGTAACACCTATGGAGCTCCTTGTGATCCTCAAGTTTCGATGTTGATCGAGATCGCTGGGGGTTTCAAGTACCCGGTTTTGCTTTCGGATAGTTGGGAGGGGAACGATGCTTGTCAAATGTCCTTCGTCACATGTGATTCACAAAAGAGTGTGATCACAGTGAATCTTGCCAACAAAGGTTTGTCATGTTAGACAAAATGTTAATCCGAGATAAAAATAATAATAATAATAATAAATATTATTATATAATCGAACGAAGCAAAATAAATAAAACTTAAAGTATAGGCAAAAAAATTGATTTATTCATATTTAGACATTGAATCAGATGAGTAGAGTAACATAAATCGAAGAAGAATTTTGTTGAGGTATCTATGAACAGTTTCCTTAAGACAGATTCGTCATCTCTTCGGTGCTTTGAGTAACGTTTGACGTCGGTCTTTCAGGCTTAGATCAAAACTTGATAGTTTTTAACATGATTTAATAGAGTTGGTTATTTTTATTGTTGGAAATTTTAGTTTAGGTCAGATCAGATTATGTCGAATTTTTATCTTAAAAAATAAATCAAATGATTTTATCCTAAATATGAATAAAATTAAATGACAGATGAAGAAATATTATACTTTTCAGATTTGAATAAGCTAAAAATCCGACATAACCCAACCTATAATAATCTCTAAATAAATTATATATGTAATCGATTTTTCTATGCTTTTTTTAATATTATCTATAATTCGTACAATTACAAATAATGCACAATTACACTTACCTTAGAATTGCCAAATTTGACCGAACTTGATTACTTAAGCGATTTACTCGGATTGAGACTCGACTCGAATATAATGATCCAAATTTGACCCGAAACTCCAAAAAATCGAATTGAATTGAAATCAACCCAATTTTAGTTAAACAGAAAGTAACCTAAAACGAAAGTAACCCGAACCGAAAGCAACCCGAATTTTAGCCAAACCGAAAGCAACCGAACCGAAAATAATCTGAACCAAAAGTAACTTAAATTTAATTTACTCAAACTCGATCTGAACACATTTAGTATCTCAATTATCACTTTTGTTTTATTTTAATAATTCAACTATTATTTTTCAAAAATCATACGTAATTTTATATTTTGGTCATCTGCCGTTAAAAATTTAACAAAAATATTGACGTGATAATTTTTTAATTTCTTTAATTAATGACATGGTATTACCTTATGATGACACATTAGTGTCACCATTAATTTTTTAACAGTGGGTGACAAAATGAAACCAAAGTGTAACGTTAGATATTATTTTAAAACAAAAAAAAAATAGTCGGTGACCAAAACAGAATTAAAGTAATATCCAAGGTACTAAACATGGAGTTTACCCATAAGTTTAATATGTGGAAATAATTAGAAAACTCCGGTTTAGCCCCTCGATTTAAAAGGTATCTTAAAAGCTGCGTGCAAATCCCCACCATCTAATTAAATTTTCAAGTAAAGAAATTAATAATTACTATATTTTATTAAAATTGTTTTTTAATGATTCAACGAATACATATTATAAAATAAGTTTTAAATTTTTTATTTTATTAAAAGATTCTCAAACATTTGATAATTAACGCTCATAACTCTGCATGCACGGTGCTCAAGTTTGGGATCTCAAAAAATAACAATAAATCTCTTAATCACCGAAATTAATTGATTTATACAAATAATTTAATGTTTTTAATCGAAACGATTCTCGATTATTTAATAACACGTACTCAATAAAAAACTTAATAATAAAATAGATAAATTTAAATTATAAAAACTCTATTATGCAAGTGATGTGATTAATTAACCTATGAAAATAACACTATGTATTTTTTTCTTTATAAAAATAAAATTTTAATAATATAAAAACGTAAAATAGTGTGTTCTACGTAGAGATGGGTATGAGACCCGAACTCGACTAGTTAAGATTCGATCGGATTAGGGTTTCTTTAATTAAGTTTTAGGTCGGATCGGATCGAGGTTTTTTAAAGGTGATGTTAGGGTTGGGTCAGATTCGGTTTCGGGTGAAAAATACTCGACTTGACCCGACCCAAAAAAAATATAATTTTACCTTATATATATATTTAGAAATGATTACAATAATACTCCTCTATATATTACTTTTTCAATTAAATTTTATTGAATAAAAATAATATTTTTTATTATTTCTGATCAGGTCGGGTCGGATCGGGTTCGAATTTTATCTCAAAAAATCAGACCGGATTCAGGTCAGGTGGAGAGTATATATTTTCGAATCGAGTCGGGTCGGATAAGATCGGATTGGCCGACCCCGACCCAAACCGACCCATGTTCATCCCTAGTTCTACACGATAACTAAATATTATTGATCCATCCACTATTATTAAAATATTAATAGTGTAGTAATGTGGATCCCAATACAAATATATATAAATAAAATAAAATAATAAATAATAAGAGAGTTCAGTTGGCTATGAGTAAATAATTTACTAAAATATTTTTTTACGTAAAGCATACAACAAAACCTTCCTTGGTAGTAACCTTACCAAGCTAAACCCTAAACCAGCCATTAACATCTTATATATATAATTGGTCAAATTCTGGATTTCATCCCTCTACTTTACAAAATCTGAGATATTAGTTTCTTTTTAAAAAGCCGAAAATAAGTGAAATTTCAACACTAACTCCTTCTAAATTTTAAGTTATAAGAGGAAGAAAATGATAAAAAAAAATTCTATTTTGGTCTCCCAAAATTATATAATTTTAGTATAGTCTCATACAAGAAATGACCATTCAGCTCAGTTGGTAGAGCACAAGGTTCTTAACCTTGAGATCGTGGGATCGAGTCCCATGGAGGGTATTTCATAATTTGGAGGTCTCCTACGGAAGCTGCTCTCAACCTAGTGTTGGGGGTAGCCTACTATCTTACCTCCCCTTACCTCATTACACATATGGGAACAAGGGACAACCATTTGTTTGTCTCTTACAAAATTATAAACTATAAATTAAAGTACTATAGAATTATATTTTAATATTTTATAATTTTATAATTTCATTATGACTCAAAAGAATTTATCTTCATATCTAGAGTCACTCTAGTTGTTGGTAAACACAATAACTTGAATTGATGATTTTCTTTTGAATTATTATGTACAAATTATTGACTAATTTAACAATAAAATGACTAGTTTATAATAAATTAAATTAAAAGTAATATTTTTGATTTTAGAAAAATAGATGGACTAAACTCATAATTATATATAAGGGTAAATTATGTATTTAGTCACCTATCTATTCATGAGGCTACATTTTGGTCAATCAACTTTTTTTTTTCAAAATCATACATGGTTTTACGTTTTGGTCATCTGCCGTTAAAAAATAATGGTGATGTTGATGTGTCATCATAAGGTAATATCACATCTTTTTTGGAAAAAAAATATCCATCAATAACTCTATTTAAATTTTAACTGTATGTAATTAAAATGTAACGTTAGGTATCAATTAAAAAAATAGTTGAATGGTCAAAAAGGAATCGTAGAAATAGATGGATGACTCAATACGTAGTTTAGCCTTATATATAACTTAAAAGTCCACGTGATGGTAACGTAAGTTTCCCGTCGCCCGCCACCACTGACTTAATCAGCCACCGGTTGCTTGTCCACATATTTTATTTGACAAAAAATTAGCTAAAAGGTCACCATTCATCATCTTATGGCACCTTGAAAGTTCATCAACAAGCTCTCATTCATTCATTCTTTCTTTCACTTTCTTTTTCAATCAATTTTTCTTCAAATGAAACTCCATGCATTGATAACCCAGTTTTTTCCCGGAAATCCCACCAGGAATCTCAAATGGAAACACAAATCAAGAAGGAAAAGCTGCGCCAATCACTTCTGGTTCGTCTTGTTTTTCTCCATCGTTATTTTCTCCATATTACTCTGTTTTAATCACCTCTTCTTCTTCGACAACACCAAAGGGTTCGTTCCCTTCCTGGGAAAATCAGCTTATTTTCCCGGAAAGTTGAAGAACAGCAGCACAGATTCATGCTCCGGTCGATACATTTATGTCCATGATCTTCCAAAGAGATTCAATGAAGAAGTGATCAAAGATTGTCAGTTGATTACAAGGCCCACTGATAAATACAGCATGTGTAAATCTTTGGAGAATTTCGGTTTAGGCCCTCGGATCAAAGGTTTAAACGATTCGGAATCATGGAAGAACAGTTGGTTTTCAACGAATCAGTTCATGCTGGAGGTTATTTTCCATAATCGGATGAAGAAATACGGCTGTTTAACCAACGATTCGATGATCGCTTCCGCCGTTTTCGTGCCGTATTATGCAGGTTTGGATCTCCGTCGATACCTATGGGGATTCGGTGTATCGACGAGAGATTCATCCGGCGTCGACTTGGTTGACTGGCTTGCAAGAAAGCCTGAATGGAAAAGGAATTTGGGTAAGGATCATTTTTTTATCTCGGGTCGAATCGCTCGAGATTTTCGACGGAGATCAAATCGAAAATCCGATTGGGGCAGCAACTTCAGGCTCTTGCCAGGGTCCGAAAACATGATGATGCTAACGATCGAATCAGGTTCATCGAAAAACGACGTTGCGGTACCGTATCCGTCGTATTTTCACCAATCCAACGATCTCCAAGTTCACCAATGGCAAGAATTCCTCCGGAAACAAAACAGGCCCTACTTATTCTCATTCGCCGGCGCACGACGATCAAAACAAAAGGGATCGATCCGAGCCGAGGTCATCAAACAATGCCAGACCTCGAAAAACCTATGCAACTTCCTTGACTGCGGATCATCCCCCGAAAAATGCGACGAACCAACTAACCTAATGAACCTGTTTCAAACCTCGATCTTCTGCCTACAACCTCCGGGGGATTCGTTGACGAGAAGATCAACGTTCGACTCGATCCTATCGGGTTGCATTCCGGTTTTCTTCCATCCGGGGAGTGCTTACACACAATATATATGGCATCTACCAAAGGATCACAACAAATACTCGGTGTTCATTTCAGCAAAGGATTTGAGAGTTGGGAGAGTGAGAATCAACCAAACATTGCTTCAAATTTCAAAGAATGAACAAATGGCAATGAGAGAAGAAGTCATAAAATTGATTCCAAGGATTGTTTATGGTGACCCAAGGGGTGGATTGGACGCCATTGATGATGCATTTGATTTAGCAATCAAGGGAGTTCTCAAAAGAACACATATTAACAAAGAATTGATTAGAGTTTAGTGATTCATTTGTAAAATTTGATTTTCTTTGGGGACTTGTTTTAACTCTAGTTTAAGTGAAACACTTTTATTTATTAAACCCAATTGAAAATAGATGGTCCAATATTTTTCCCCTAGGTAATTGTCACACACTTTATCTAAATATAAATCATATATATATATATATTAACCACATAATTTTTTATACGGAATAAACCCAATTAATAATTAAATTATATATTATTATAATTCTAATGATGAAAGATTATTTATTGATTTGGTGTAGTTTTGGGTTATTAGTGGTGGCGTGGGGCTAGGTTATTGGTAGTTTGAATTTTAAGCCCGGTGGGTCTTGGCCCAATTTGATAAACTTGGCCGATACTAGATTTTAGGTTCGAAGTTGAGTTTGATATGATTTAGGGCATAAATTAAAGTAGGAGGAAAATCAAATTTAGGTAAGATTTAGTGTCTTGAGTAGGGTGTAAACGAGCCGAGTCGAGCTCAAGTATTGCTGAGCTCGACTCGACTCGAAAACTTTGAAATGGAGTTCGACTCGGCTCGAAAACTCGTGAGCTTAAAATTTTTAAGCTCGACTCCAACTCGAAATCCTGAACTGAAGCTCGTGAGCAGCTCGAAAAGGCTCGAAATGAAAAAAAAAATCTTAAACTTAACTAGATTAAAGTCTCAAACTCAAACTTGAACATGAACCTTAAATACATGAAAACCTTACTGTATTTTTTAAAAACAATCAACACATAAATGTTAATATTATTAATAATTTTTTTTTAAAAAAATAAAATATTAATATATTATATTTTCGAGCTGCTCATGAGTTTTTCGTGTCGAGTATTAAATAGCTCGTTTATGCTCGTTAAGAATTCGAGTCGAGCTCGAGCTCGACTCGGGTCCATTTGATCCGAGTATTTATCGAGCCTTGACCGAGTCGATCTCGAGTAGCTCGCGATCTGTATCGTCTCATTTACAGCCTTAGTCTTGAGGATAAGTTTATAATGCACGTCACACACCACAATACACTATTAAAGTGACATCGAACTACACAACTAATAAAATTATTCTTATTATGTAAATATTAAAGAGTATAATAGTACCAATAATCAGTTGATCTAGTGAGATGAGACACTAGATTTTTTAAACAAGGTCAGGGGTTCAAATACTGATGTTTGTGAATAGATTAAACTGGGTTGAGAGGGTCGCCCACGCTTCTATAGTACCTAATTTGGATTAGTCGATCAATAGATTAGATATTAATAATTAATTAGAAGATAAAAAGTGTAATGATTTATTTAAAATTAATCATTTGTTAAATTTTAATTTTTTTTTATTTTAATAGGCTTCATCTCAAATTAACCAACAACCACCGTCAGTCTACCACCACTGCCGGCTACCACCGCGTTTCGTCGGAAAATCATTTTATACAATATTCAGTGCTGTTGGAGAGTTATACCAAGAGAAAACTAGCCTTCCTCCACCCAACGTCACCCGGATCGTCGTCGCCAGAACCGACAGTCGCAGACGATACTGTTTTCGTTTACATCGTCGGCCGCCTGATCATTTTCTCTAATTTTAAACGCGTGTAGACGGTCGGAGAACCATCCATGACCATCTTCCATCCCAGCCGAATCGCCTTCGACCACCGCTGCTCGTTCATCGGGAGTCTCAGCTTGAAGCTCCCTGTTCGTCGGCCTTGAGTAACCCAGATCTGGTTTGTGTTTTAATAATTTTGGTCAAATTGCGTTTCAAGTCCCTTATTTTTGTTTTATGTCGCATGGCCAGAGAGCATGCACCCCTCATATTTCTATTTTAATTTAAATGGTCAAATTTTATGCAAACTCCTATACTTTTCCATGTTTAGATTTTAGATTTCTAAGTTTTATTTCCTCAATAATTCTGACTTATTTTAATTTTGATAACTAATTTTGAATTTATTTAATTTTAATTAACAATAATATAAAAAAATTATTTTATTCACTCATTTTTATTAGTATTCATTTCATATCATTTTATATTAATTGTTATCATTAATTTTGACAAATTAATGCTTAATTTTAACTTGATATTAATTGTAATTATTTTGTTCTTATAATATTTTAAAATTAAGATAAAAATAAAATATATTTTAAAATTGAACTATTTTAAAATTTAAGATAAAAATAAAATATATTTTATTATTATAATATTTTAAAATTAAGATAAAAATAAAATATATATTTTTAATATTAAGATGTCAATTTAATTTAATATAATATGTGAATTTAAGTTAAGATGTAATATAAAATACTAAGAATTTAAGTTTGGACTAGTATATAAGATATATAGTATATGTAGTTTACTTTAAACAAAAGTTTACTTGGCTCAATAGTTGAGAGGGAGCTTTAGCTCTTATTTTTTTAACCCAGGTTTGAATCCCACACTCCCCCCCACTTTAACTCAAATTTTCTTTCCATAATTCTATTAAATTAAAATATATTAAACCCTCCAATTAGGTGATAACATGTGTCATGATATTAGTATTAGTGTCACGTGGTATGATCTGATTCAAAGATTAAATTTATTTGAATTTATTAAAATTAAGACAAATTTGAGAGAATATATAAGTAACAATGACCAAATGTGTAATTATTCTAATTTTACTAACTGCCACGTCAGCACTTCCGTTAAACGAAAGGTGGCCTAATTGAATGCATTTAGATAGTTGTGTGATCTGATTGACAAGAATTCAAAAATAGTAGTCAAAATGAAAAACAGCTATAGTTGGGTGGTGCCCGCTATAGCTTACCCAAAATAAAATAAAGTAAATTACACATTTAGTCACCAATTATTACTGCAATTATGTTTTGGTACCCTATAATTTTTTCAAAATCTTCAATAGTATTACATTTTGGTCATCCACCATAAAAAATTAATGATGATATTGATGTATCATCATAAGGTAATATAACATTATTATTAAAAAAAGGAGTGATACCGAAGAAAAAAGAGTGGCTTTATTCCTAAATCGCCCAAGTTCGAGCAATTTTATATATATAGGTGTACGTTGAGTTTTTGGGATTTGAAATTGATACACATTTTTTAGTATTTTAATACAATTATAAGATAATATATGTGTCCAGCTTTAAATCTAGATAAATTCTTACACACTAATAGACAAGTTACTCGAACTCTTCATCAAAGGAGAACAACACTAATAGACAAGTTACTCGAACTCGTTCATCAAGAAGAACAACATTTCTTTTAGAACTGATATAATTTCTTGGGTTTTCAAATTTATACATTAAATTGACAGGAATACAATGGTACACCAATTTCTTATCCTGTTTATTCGAATAATAAAATATCATCAACAACAACAACAACAAAACCCTATTCCCATATGCAATGGGATAAGGAGGAGGTAGGGTAGTAGACTGCCCCTAACGCAAGTTTTAGAGTAGCTTCCGTGGAAGACCTCCGACAGTAAGAAAATTAAAACTAAAGAAAATAAAATATCAATTAGTCTCGAATTCAGAAAAGGAAGAAATTGATTAATTAATTTATTAAAAAAACAAGCGGATTTTTGCTCACCTTAAGTTGTATCGTTTTTAATGGGTAAATTACATAAGTATTTAAACGACTTAATATGTTTCTCTTATTCTATTGTAACCGCTGATACGTTCGTTAATGCATGAATATGCAGTGATGAGGAGCTGCTATGACGAACGTTTGATTTTGGGCAACATGAATGATGCCATTTTTGGTTTCGGGGAAGACCCACCTATCCGTTTGAGGCTTGATAATGATGCGCTTGACACCAGGATATGTCTCCAGACCATGCATATCGATTTCGTTGTCGAAGTGACCAATGTTGCAAACAATGGCATTGTTCTTCATCTTCCTCGTGTGGTCAACCATGATGATGTCCTTGTTACCGGTGGTGGTGACAAAGATATCAGCCTCGGAGATGACGTCTTCGAGGGTCAAAACTTGAAGTCCTTCCATGAGAGCTTGAAGAGCACAGATGGGATCAATCTCAGTGACAATGACACGAGCACCGGCTTGTTTCAAGGCAGCAGCGAAGCCCTTGCCAACATCACCGTAACCACAGACAACAGCAACCTTTCCGGCAATCATCACATCGGTAGCTCTCATCAAACCATCGGGAAGAGAGTGACGACATCCATACAAGTTATCGAACTGTTCCAAGAAATCAAATCATATGAACTATTTGATTATAGGTTTCACGATCTTTGTTCCTATATGAAGTTTCTTAGATGGTGGTATTTCAGCATTATTAAGTTACTTTATGTAGTTCTTGATTTTCCGGTCTCGGATTGTTGAATTCTTTCTGGTTTTATTGTCGAAGTAGGAGGCAGCGAACCCGTTTGAGTTCTGTGACATTGTCACCACCACCACCCACAAGAGCTTGAGGGGTCCTAGGGCCGGTATGATCTTCTATCGTAAAGGACCGAAACCTCCCAAGAAGGGCCAACCTGAAGGTGCGGTGTATGATTTCCAAGACAATATCAACTTTTCCGTCTTCCCATCTCTGCAGGGCGGTCCGCACAATCACCAGATCGGTGCTTTGGCCGTTGCTTTGAAACAAGCCATGTCACCCGGATTCAAGGCTTATGCAAAACAAGTTAAGGCCAATGCAGTTGCCCTTGGGAAGTACCTAATGAGCAAGGGATTCCAGCTTGTTACTGGAGGGACCGAGAATCACCTTGTTCTTTGGGATCTCACTGGTATGACAGTTGAATCACTTGGCTGTGCGATTATCATTTTCGATTCAATTCTGATCAGTTTTATCATTGTTCTTACAGGCAACAAAGTGGAGAAGCTTTGTGACCTGTGCAACATCACTGTTAACAAGAATGCCGTATTTGGTGACAGCAGCGCATTGGCTCCCGGTGGAGTACGAATCGGTAGGAATCATTGTGCCTCTATTGGTTTTTGTCTTCGATAGTGAGTGACGACGGAACTCTTAGAAGCTTGATAAAAAATTTCGTTAAAATGGATGCAAATTGCTATCAACAGGTACACCTGCCATGATTTCGAGAGGCTTCGTCGAGAAAGACTTTGAACAGATCGGCAAGTTCCTCCACCGAGCGGTTACCATCAGCTCGGACATCCAAAAGCAGTACGGGAAGCTTTTGAAGGACTTCAACAAAGGTTTGGAAAACAAGGAGATCGGACATCCAAAAGCAGTACGGGAAGCTTTTGAAGGACTTCAACAAAGGTTTGGAAAACAAGGAGATCCAAGAGCTCAAGGCCGGTGTTGAAAAGTTCGCATCCTCTTTCGACATGCCGGGCTTCAAGATGTCGGAAATGAAGTACAAGGATTAGATCTCAACTACTTTTTTATGCATATGGGTCTTATGGAAATCTGCCTCTGCTAGTGTCCGATGAGTGGAAAAACAAGGGGAAAATATGAAGAATTTCTTCTGTTTTCATGTATGGTTTTCATTGTCTAGGGTTAGTGGTCCATTTGCTGTGATTGTTCAAGTTTTTATGCCCATTTCTTGTAAGAGTCTGGATAAAATTTATGTACCAATTATCACTTTAATTACCTACCTCTACATCTCTAACGTATGCCGTTGCACGCTGAAGCAAGTTTTGAACGTAACCGTATGTTTTTGCACTCGGGAAAATCGGAAATAAGTTTCGAGTACTTTCATGTATGTTGTTGTGCTCGGATGTAAGTGTTGAATACTCTGATGGATGTTGTACTCGGAAGTAAGTTCCGAATACTCTTAACGAATGCACTTGGAAGTAAGTTTCAAACACTAATGTATGCTGTTGCACTCAAAACTAATCAAACACACCAAAACAAGGTGATTTATTGAAAAACCCCTAAAAATTGTTGCATAGATGTCAAGGATTCCAACATGGCTGCTACATTTTGTTCAGATATTCAACCAAGTTTCCGAGAAAAACAATGCAATTCCACTGAGTAAAACCGAGCACTTCCAACAAATCATTTCGATTTTTTACCTTGTTTCTTCTTGATAACTTCGTCGACGTACATTATACCTTTGCCTTTGTAAACTTCTGGGGGCTTGCAACTTCGAACCGTAGCGGCAAACTGATGCACCCTCTGCTTGTCGAGTCCGGTGCAGCAAACAACATTGTTTTTGAAGCAGAAGACACGAACAGCAGGAGGAACGGTAAGTTCGACCTCATGACTGTATCCTAGTTTCAGAAATAAGAGTCTTCCCTCGGCTTCAGCTCGGGCTTTGTAACCAACTCCAACAATTTTAAGAAACCGAAAGAATTTCGCTTCCATGATGACCGAAAATAACCACCTGAATAAGTGGTAATCATTTAAAAAATCATTGAAAGAAAAAACAAACAAACAAATAGCCATTCAAAGGAAGTGAATGTAGGAATGACAAGTAGGATATCGGTACCCTATCCATGTTAGTTTTCATACTATCTGAATCTGATAAATACATGGTTAACTGTTAAAAACTCGAGCTATCACAAGCTACTCAAGTTCGATTCGAAATGAATCAAATTCTACTCGACCATGATCAGGTTGAGCTAAGTTGTTGAATAAAGCGAATTTGAATACCCCAATACTCGACTCGAGTTGCTTGCAAGTCTGATCAGGTTGATTTTCTTAATTAGTATTGAGAAATCACAAGTCAAGCTTAAACTTGAGTTCAAGCAAAAATAGTCGGACATGAAGTAAAGCATGAGAATCAGACTCATTTCTTTACCATGCAAACGAGATTAATCAAAGTCTAGTAGAAGAAGCACGAGCTATTAAAATGCAACTCAGATTTCACTCGAGCAAAAAGCTTCAAGCTGCAAATTTTGAGCCAAACTTAATGCTTCATATTGCTTGAGCTCAGCTCGATTCGATTGCACTCTAAAGCAGTTGCAACGGCAGCCAAGCAAAAAACCAGAGCAAATTGGATTGTCAACGGATCTTAGACGCAACAACAGCAATGACAGGGCAAAGGCAAATTATAGCACATAAATCGAAAGATGCATCATTTTGACATTTAAAAAACACTAAATGGCATTTCAACGAAGGTCGAACTAAGACCAGATTTCATAAAAAAAATTACATCAGTTTGACATCGATACACACGGGGATACAAATAGAGGTGGCGTAGCGGTGTTACAGACGCTATTGCACGGTAGCGGCGCCGTCCGTCACGGCTATTTTGAGCAGATAACACATATTCTCATGAATCAAGTAGCAATCAATCTTCGATTTAAGTTTGGGGTTTCAAAAGTTACCTTATGTAGATTTCCCGATCTGTCGGAAACTTGAAGGTCGAGAGAGGGTGAGGCTGGCGGTGTTAGGCGTTTTGGGCGGCGGGGATGTGCGAAGAGAGATAATGTAGGTGGGGAGAATTTAGAATTACTTTTTTCTTTTTTTATTATTAATATAAAAATAATTGTTTAAACTATACTTAAAATTAATTTTTTGATATTTAAAGATTTTTTCGTTAAAATTATGTGTCTAATATTTTATTTATTATATTTTTAGATTATTACCGTTAAAAAATATTATTAAGTGGCATATGTTACTTTCATTTTCTTATAAAGTACTAAATAATATTTTATTTTTTAAAAAAAATAAAGAAATATAAACGTGATTTATGTCATTTAACGAATATTTTTAACTGTATGCACCTAAAAGTGTAACGAAGAAAATATTAGACATTTATTCTTAATGAAAAAAATTTTAAACATCAAAAATCAATTTTAAGTATAATTTGAGAACTTATTTTTGTATTAAACATTTCCTTTAAAACAATTTTATTTGGTTAAAAAAATTAAGATTTTATTAATCGGAAGTTAATTTTATATAATTTATATGTAATTATTATTTTAATATTTATTAATTGAATGAGATCGAGTTGAGGTTTTGGTCTATCCAAATTTGACTTTAATAATATACCTTTTTATTCGTCATTCGATCTGATTCAATTTAAATTTAAAGAAATTATGTCTAATTTAATCTAATTATATATATATATATATATATATATATTCATACTCAATCCGATCGACCTTATATATATATATATTCTATTTGAATTAGGTAAAATAGAGACGTAATTAGAAAATCTTGTATTATTAGAATAATTATCTCTAAATATACAATCGATAGTTATATTATTTTTGGTAGAATATTCTTCTCCAAAAATCTACCATATTGTATCTTTTAAAAAATCTGATTCAACTTCACCCGAGTTCAAAATTTGTAAAACGCTAACCATATAATATTAGAACCCGTTAAGTTTAGATCTCATGAAAATTTCTATATGTATGTTAGTTTTAGGTTTAATACAAAAATAAGTGTCTAAATTTTACCTCGAAAAACGATTGGTAGCTAAAGAGTTTTTCGCTAAAAATAGTTCCTAACGTTTTCTCAGTTACACTTCTAGGTGCCCCGTTATATTTTTATTTTTAATTTTCTTGATTATAAAAATATTATTTTTTAATTAAAAAATAAAAAAACCCTTAATTTATATACAAAAGAATCCCAAAATTTAATGAAATTATAAAAAAACCTCTAAAAACTAAAATATCTCATTTCAACCCATTACCAACCATGGAACGCAGGAGCACCGACGGAGCAACGATAAAGGTGGGTTTTGAGCGGAATTGTACGGTGGTTCGAATGGTGGTGACGGTGTGACTTATGGACGTCAGGATCAGCTGGAATTAATGAAAAACAGTGGCGGTGGCTTAAAATTTGACAAACCTTCGAACGCTTCTCCACGGAAAACGGTGGTAGCTTACGACGAAAGACCAACGTGGGTTTGATCGGGAGTTGACGCCGGTGCTAACAACGGTGGCGGTGGCGGCCACAACTGGCTGCCCGACGACCATGGAAGGGGAAAAGGGAGAGTGTGGAAAGAAAGGGGCTACAGCTGCACGAGGGATTTTTTTTTTTTAATAAAAAATATTTTTTATTTTTTTTAAATTTTAAAATAAATTCTTAAAACTATCATGGCTCGACACGTGTCACTTATTAGCTAAATTTAACGGCCGTTACGGTCTAGACAGTTAAAAGTGCTCCGATCAAAACGTTAGACACTTAATTTTAACGAAAAATTATTTAAACACTAAAACGTTTTTTGAAACAAAGTTCGTACACTTATTTTTCTGTTAATCCTTAATTTTTTAAGTTTGTCTAGTGGAACAAACTAAAATAATAATAATAAACGTTGTAAATAGAAAAAAGTTGAGTTGGAATTTTGAAGGGTAGTCCTATTATTTAATATATTGATCGGATACAATTAGGTAAAATATTAATAATATTTTTTTATTTTATATTAAATTATTAATATACTATTATTTAATGTATTGATCGGATACAAATACCTATAAGTTTTGCATACCACCCTTTTAGGTCTCATTTATTGATTTACTTTTACTAAATGTATTTTTTTTGGCAAGAAATGTTTTTAATATGTATATATATATATATATATAGGGATGAGCATAGGTCGGATTTGGGTCAGGTTTCGACTAACCAAACCTGATCTAAAAATTTTACATCTTTCACTCGATCCGAAAAATATATACCTTTTACTCGACCCGAATCCAACCTAGCTTTTTGAGATAAAATTTAAATCCAATCCGACCCAAAATAATAAAAAATATTATTTTTATTCAATAAAAATAATATATAGAGGATTATTATTGTAATTATTCCAAAATTATAATGTAAAATTTATTTTTTTCGAGTCGAGTATTTTTCACCCTAAACCCGAATCTGACCCGACCAGAACATCACCTTTAAAAAAACCCAACCCGAACCTAATTTTTTTAGAAACTCAACCCAACCCGATCGGGTCGGAACCCTTCAGGTTCGGGTCTCATGCCCATCCTTGTACATATATTGATTGTTGGATCGTGTTAATTATCATACACCAACTCAAATGAGGAAAAAACGATATAAAAATAAAAATGATAAGTCTATGAAATTAAAATAATATTTAATTTTTGTACCATTAAATAACCATCAAATCCAAGCATAATATCAAATTTTCATTATTACTAATATAAGGTTACAATTGAAATTTCAAAAACCAATAGACAATAAAAGCAGAAATCATAAAGTAAAAAGATATTGAGGATATGAACATTGCATGCATCATCTCAATCTCATCTTCAAAGATGTTCAAAAACACCAAAAATATTACCGTCCATGTAATTGTTATCCACCAAGCTCACCAAATAGTAGCTCTTCTGAATCTGCAAAAATACCGGCGTCACGTTATACGGCGTAACTCGGACTTCCGGGTGAGTG